TTGTACTTTCATGTGCAACATTTTTGCATAAATAGATCCAGTACAGGCTCAGTGGCTACAGAATTAGGGAGAATTGAGAAAAAAATACATAAAAAGCTTTGCAGTTATCAGTCATTTTGAAGCAGATAAAAGTAGAAGGAACACGAGAATAGATTTTTTTTTATATTGCAGGTTTTATGTTTTTGAAAACCATCTGAATTAATGTTAAATTGAAAATGCTGGTAACTATTTAAAAACAAATGGCAACCTCTGTAAAAAAATTAGTCTGTCTAATAAATGCTTTAAGAACTTTACAAAGTATTTATTTGTAAAATGCACCCGGGGATTGTGACCATAGATTTCACGTTATCTGTGTGCATGCAATTATTTTTTGCTATATATTACTTTTTTCACCTCCCTGGTATTCTGTGAGTTAAGTAAATCAAACGCATTTGTGTGTGCAATTCATTACAGACATAATACACTTGTTTCTTGATTCTCAACAAACAAACAAAAAAAATGCACAGAACAATGTTAATGCCAACATCTGTATACATATTCGAGAAAGCATGACAAACCATAAAACAAAATACTTTTCTATAATCCTCTAAATCCCTAAACACTAAATAGGATGTAGTTTTGACATGTAATTCATCACTTTTCGTATTATAAATTACAAAAAGGAAAGCAGCAACAAATCCTCAGTATAGATATGGGTGTCTCGCATGCAAATAACGGAAAGACTTGGCAAATTTCTCTTATTTCTTGAGTCATAAATAGAACAATACATTGTTTATATGCTTTGTTTTTTTTGGTGCTTATTTTTACGAACCTTGGAAAAATAGAGGAAAACTTTTCTTTGTTGACCTGACACTTCTTTCTAATGTTTTATAATCACTAATATCTTCTCATTTGTATGCATCTTCTTGCCTGTATCAGTAAAACGCCTTTGGCACTTTGGAACGAGAACGCAAAGTATCTATAACCCAAATACATTAACATGGAATTGGGACACAGTCGCACATTAATGCCTTATCACATTTTTTTTTTTTTTTTTTAATGTTATACATTTAAAAAACAAAAAACAAATTATGGATGTGCATCACAACGTTTAGGGACTGATATCCACCTCGACAAAGTTTGTTCAGCTTGTGATTTAATAAATCTTCATTTTATTTAAATACTGCCACAGCACATATTATACAAGGAGACAGATGAAATATTTGTATTGTGAGCGGAAATTGTAATATTTCTCTGTCAAAGTTAAATTATGTCTCTGGGAAAGTTTCATAACATCCAGCTTGATTTGAAAAATTATCCCTTTTAACTTCTTGAAATAAAATCACATTTTGTGTTTTTTTGACTATTGTTTTATATACCCAGACGACAAACTAAATTCTGTTTACAGAAGAACAACAACTGCGTTCTTCATGAGATTTATTGTATTTCCTATTTATATTTACAAGAGGCAATTTATAGTAAACTCAGTACTTATCCAGGACTTTTATAACCTTATAACCCACCATATATCATTATAAATGTCTTCCTGGTTACAGAAATATGACAGCTGCATATAATTTTTAATCTTTGAGTTCCAAAGTGACATGAGTGTGTTGGCTTGTAGCCATGAGAGAAATGTCAGATGAGAACCTTCAATGATGTCCCCTGTTTGGACACCTACCATATTTTTCATCCATGTTATTGGATTGATAGACATGTAACATTGTTGATGAGCTGTATCTGCTGAAACAGGTAACATAGGTTTTGCCAAAATATAATTTTATAAGGGTTATGCATTATTTGTGCCCCTTTGTCTTATCTTCCATTTACCATCAGTACATCAGATGTCATCCTTTTTTTGTGTCCCTTCAACTGAATCTTTATCCTCCTTAAGTCCACGGTCCCTAGTTAATTCCTAACTTGCTAGATTCCCATATTATGAGACATTCCATTGTTCCAATTTCTTGCATCCATTTGATCTACATGCTTTTCCCTTTTAAAATACCAGACTTTATGCCTGGTAAATACACATTCTGGGCTCTATAGAAAACACAAATAAATAATAAAACACAAATAGGAATATTAAACTTAGTAGGGCAAACTAAAAAAAAAATAACAAAACCATATTCAAAATATAACTTGTGGATTGTGAATTACACTTAACGCTATGGATAATTAAACAAATATATATTAATGTTGTAATATTGAAATTTGTATAACTATTGTATATTTGATATATATAAAAAAAATTATAAATAAAAAATAAAAATATATAAATTGAACATCAATACATTTCTAATCTATAGCATTTCAATTAGGTTTTGTGTGATGCAACAACAATATAAGCTATACAATCTAAATAAAGGACAGATCAAAACAAACAGACTTAAAAATAGTTGTAGATTTATGTAAACAAACTACTGTTCAATCTCCTCCAATGTTTTTCTTCTTCAACATCCATGAAAATCAGTTGAATAGCAGTGGGCAATGTACATTGAACCAGTTGTGATATTTGTACAGATCATTAGTGTAATGGGAAAATGTAGGCACGATAACCATTTTACTTCACTGAATTGGTCATAGTGCCCAGAGTCCCCTGGCACTGTCCCACCATTCAGTGTTTAATTAGTTTTGAGCAGTTTAACACTTATTGAGGGTCCCTGGCTTCCTATGAGTCTGCTCCCATAAGAGTAGTTGTAGGACAGAGATTGCACACTTTCTTGTAGCCATACCAATTCATAACTGCAATGGCACTGTGATTGGCTGAAAGCGTTAGCTGATACTCCCAGCCAATTACAGCCACCCACTGCTGCTCAGGTTAATGCTTCCTTATTTCCCCAAGCAGTGCAGAGAGGTTAGGCTGCTGGTGACTCTTGTTTAACCTTAAAGCATTAAAAGGGTTTAATGCTAAATGGTATGAATACCGCAGGACACTATAACCACTTTATACACTATAACTACTTCAATAAGATGCAACAGTTATGGTGACTACATTGTCCCTTTAAAACTCACATTTACTGGGTTCAAATCTATTTACAAATGTTTAGAAATACAGATGGACAATTTGTTTTACTAAGCAATAGACTTAGTGAATTCACAGAGCAGTTTGCTGGCTTCTTGATTCATGCTGATTACTATTTATTTTTCCCTTTTGTTTACATATTCTCCCTTCAGCTCAACTCTACCCTCCTTTAGCAACAAAGGGCTGATTCTCTTAACAATGTAAGGGTTTATTCTTCTGATTGAATAGCAAAAAAGTTTTATTCAGTAAGAAGAGTACATCTTTACTCTGTTAAGAGAATCCAGCACAGTGTGTTCTTCTTGTACACCATCCATAGACTTTTGTAAATGCATTAATCAGGATAGAGGATTTAGACCGTAAGCTTGTTTCAATCCATTGTTCCTGTAACATCTTGTAATTGTCTTATTTATTGTTAAACCTTTTATAACATTGTAAAGCGCTGCGGAATAAGTTGGCGGTAAATAAATGCCAAAAAATAATAATATCTAGTGTTGCGCAATAAAGTTCTCAGTGAATCTCTTTCCCTAGAGAATAAAGATGTTTCAAGTTAAATTGAGAGAGAGGAAGAGGAAATTCAGTGCAATTCATGAAATGAGATGTGTGAGAGGTGAGAAAATCCTCATGACAGTGGTAAAAGGACTATCATTAGTATGTTTGGGTCTCTGATAAACTCTTTCTAATAAAAATAATGTTAGTTCATTCATACTGTAAGGTCATTTGTAGTCCTGATCACCTCCTGCTTCTTGTTCAAGTGTTTTATGTGTATGTTTTTCATATTTACGACATGAACTCACTAATTGTACTAGACTGAAAATAATACAAATTCTCACTTAAAACCACCCACACTTAACTCTAATATCAAAAACTGCCACCACCAAGACAATTTACAAAATAACAACTCACAAACAGCAATTTAGCACAAAATGCATGCAACAGAATATACTAATAAATTGGTCAACTGGACAAAGGCAGAACTTAAAAAAGGAATATTTATTATAAAAACAAATCGTCACAGTGCATACATGTACATAGAAGACAAACAATTTCTTTACACCAACAACAGAAAAAATAAAAATAAAAATAAGAAATTAACAGAAATATCATAACTGCTCATGATTTAGAAAAAGGCAATCATCCAAATTAGATGTGATTCCCAAGGTAAGCCCACTGCTCAATAGTATTTAGTATTTATATTAACTAAAGAAAGTTAATATAAACAATGCTCCAGGGCCTGGTATCCATCCACGTGTACTTAAGGAACTAAGTGTAGATATAAGTGAACCTCTGTTTTTAATCTTTCAAGATTCTTTTCTTTCAGGAAGTGTTCCGGAGGATTGGAGGGAGGCAGATGTGGTTCCTATATTCAAAAATGGTTCAAAATCCTTGCCTGGAAATTATAGACCTGTGAGCTTAACTTCTGTGGCTAGTAAAATATTTGAAAAGTTATTAAGGGATAATATTCAAGAATTCCTTGAGAAGAACATGGTTATCAGCAAAAATCAGCACGGTTTTATGAAGCACAGGTCATGTCAAACTAACTTGATTGCGTTCTACGAAGAAGTAAGTAGAAGTATAGATCAGGGTGCTGCAGTGGATGTGATCTATTTGGATTTTGCCAAGGCATTTGATACAGTTCCACACAATAGATTAGAAGGAAATTGGTCTAGATGAAAATGCTTGTTCTTGGGTAGAACATTGGCTTAAAAACAGAGTACAAAGAGTTATCATTAATGGTAAATTTTCAAGCTGGACAGAGGTGGCAAGTGGTGTCCCTCAGGGGTCTGTTCTGGGACCCCTTCTATTTAACATGTTTATAAATGATCTTGAAGACAGCATTGAAAGTCATGTTTCAGTGTTTGCAGATGACACAAAACTTTGTAAAATAATACAATGTGAGCAAGATATTACTTTGCTGCAGAGGGATTTAGATAGACTGGGGGACTGGGCACTCAAATGGCAGATGAAATTGAATGTTGAAAAATGCAAAGTTATGCACTTCGGCGTAAAGAATACACAAGCAACGTATACCCTTAATGGAAGCGAATTAGGGATAACAACACATGAAAAGGACTTGGGAATTGTTATAGACAACAAACTATGCAACAATGTGCAATGTCAATCAGCAGTGGCCAAGGCCAGTAAGGTATTGTCATGCATGAAAAAGGGCATTCATTCTCGGGACGAGAATATAATTTTGCCTCTTTATAAATCACTAGTAAGACCACATATTGAATATGCTGTGCAATTTTGGGCACCTGTTCTAAAGAAGGATATTATGGCACTAGAAAAAGTGCAGAGGCGGGCTACAAAATTAATAAAAGGAATGGAACATATCAGCTATGAAGAAAGGTTAACAAATTTAAACCTATTTAGTTTAGAAAAACGTCACCTGAGAAGGGATATGATAACATTATACAAATATATTCGGGGCCAATACAAACCATTGTGTGGAAATCTATTCACAAACCGGACTTTACATAGGACACGAGGCCATGTGTTTAGACTGGAAGAAAGAAGATTTCGTCTAAGGCAAAGGAAAGGTTTTTTTACTGTAAGAACAATCAGGATGTGGAATTCTCTGCCTGCAGAAGTGGTTTTATCCGAGTCCATACAGATGTTCAAACAGCTACTAGATGCACATTTACAAAAACAGAATATTCAAGGATATAATCTTTCAATGTAGGGTAATAACTGCTTGATCCAAAGATAAATCTGACTGCCATTCTGTTGTCAAGAAGGAATTTTTTTTTCCTAGCTTGTTGCAAAATTGTACTTCAAACTGGGTTTTTTTGCCTTCTTTTGGATCAACAGCAAAAAACTAATGTGAGGAAGGCTGAACTTGATGGACGCAAGTCTCTTTTCAGCCATGTAACTATGTAACTAGTTCCTCTTCAGAAATTTCTATGCATAACTGTAGAAAGTCTTGGTTCCTTGCCCATTCCCTCACCTCCTTTTGTTTGATTCAAACACCAATCTATATGGAAACATATTTTTATTTCTTGTTGTATGCTTACCATCTGTCAAGTTTAAAGATATGTTACGCTCCTCATCTAAGATCTAATACTATGGACTGCACAGTTTCTTCAAAACACCATCAGTTACACTAGTTATGACTGTATTCTGTTGTAGGTTACACTGTTGCTGTTATGAATATGTATACCAGGAGACATGATTATTCACCTCTGGATAATTATTATTATTATTATTGTTTTTTTGGTTATACCCCTTTGCAGAAAATTGTCTATTGCCTGCTAATGGTCACTTATCATATCAAATGGATCCAAGGACTGTGAAACAACACAGGCAAATAGAGTATAGTTATCAAGTCTAAGAAAAAGTCTTAAGGACAATGTGTGTTTTTGTAAAATGTCATACCTGGCAGAGGGACACATTGGGAGCCATGCTTCAAGGAAGACTTTATTTGCAAATCTGTCCAAAGGATTGGATACCTAGCATGTTCCTATACATCCAAATTAAATCTACTCATGCTTAAATCTGCCATTACACCTCTGCTAGGTGACCAATTCATTTATTCACTACTAATATCACATTTAATTCAATGTTTCTATAGAGAGACAAAGAATTTTGCTTGATACACATGACAAGATATGGTTTCACTTTGGCTACTTATGTCTTAAATCTGAAATGTACTTTTAATTAACTTTGAAATCTCACTTTAGTAAATAACTCTGATTGAAATGCATCTATCAATGAAATCTCTCATATTAGTAAATTTCATTTGTATGATATAGAAATTTTATTTTTCAGCAGATAATAAATACAGTAAAATACAGACATTAAGAGGTTGTTATTTTAGCATACATTGCTGAGCTGTGTTTTTCACATCTGACTCTTATGGGGCAGATTTTTCTTTAATCTTGTCAATTGATGGTTTAAGAATAGGAGACAGACTTAGAATGTGCCTTGTCTTTATGCTAGGCCTAAAGCCAAGAAACTAACACGGGGGAATGTATTCTCCTGGACAGGATCCTGGAGTGGCAGTGAGAATGCCAAAAAATGTGCATAAATCCTTAAAGAATACTTCAAGTGACATATATACAAAATAGAGGCATTATGAAGTCAATTCAAGATACACTAGGATCAACTATTGGAATTGACCTGGTTTAAAAAGGGGCTGTGTGTTATGTCTTAATGTAAACTAATTTGTTGTTCAGCTAACTTGCATTTATAGAAAATTAAGGGAATTGCATTTTTAGCAGTTAATAACAAAATATTCAGTGCAAATATTTTTTTCAGATCAAATTTCTTCTCATCTTTGAAACCCCAATTTTGCAGATAACTCCAGTGACAATTTGCATGCTATGAATTTAGTTATGACATATAGCTGTTTTAAATAATGAATAATATTTAAGCCTTAGTACAATGATTTCATATTCTGTTAAACATAGTAGTTAGTCCCACAGAAGATTTCTATGTGCTTAAATAGTTATTTTAAGCATGAAAACCCATTTTCAGCTTCCTGTCTGTGAAGTGTCTCCTGTCAGAGCTCATTATCTTCCGAGATATTGAGCTTTGATTTAAGGCATGAATCATTTGACCACCTGTCATGCTACCTATGAAACCAACCCTAGTCAAGTGTCAACATGGCACATGTTTTGATTCTGTGCATCATTCTGATATGTGCAGTGTGGCCCACTCCACCAAATCTTGCTTTTATGCACAAAATGCCTTGGAGTATGCCTCATTTCCACAACATTGATTTTATACTTTTTGGTGTTTCTCAACTGCTTCAATGACATGCAGCAGTTATGGTGCCTACAGTGTTTCTCTAAAACTCACATTTACTGAGTTCAAATCTATTGACAAATGTTTAGAAATACAGATAGACAAATTGTTTTACTAATCATTAGGCTTCTTGGTGAACTCACAGAGCAGGTTGTCGATTTCTTGATCTCCTTGTCTCCTATTTAAGACCAAACCATGCTCGGAACTGTGCCCTACAATGACCTGTAGTTACACAGAATTATATTACAGTGTTTTTATTTCTGGATTTTGAACTCTGACTTGTTCCTTGGCTTTGCTGTTTTCTGTAAAATGTATCTTGTCTAGTTAACTCGTATTGAAGTTCCTATGTTCTCCTTTGACCTTGGCCTGTTCTGGACTCTATTTGTCTTGTGTAGGCATTTTATTATTCTGACATTTGAATGTTGGGATCACTCAATATTCCTAACTCCACCTAAAGTATACAATGATCTATAGATGCACATGCCACAAGTACATGTCAATGAGTCATGCACATGCCAAAAGTACATGTCAATGGGATCTCTGTCTCCTCACCAGAGATTGTCCCAAAGCATGTTCAGAAGGTATATCTCATATATATATAAATACATAACACATTAAAATTCCGAGGATTGAGTGTGGAGCCTGGCTTCCAAGAGAAGCAGCAATGTGGTGCTCAAGCTCCTAAAACTGGAACAGATGCTGGCAAACCGAAGATATTACAATTCTATACCCAGCTGAGGAAGCTACATTGTGTAGTGAAATGCATTCTGGGATCTTTATGGACATTGTTCCTTATTTTATTTGTATGTTTTTATAGCGTATAATACATTTTATTTCTTCTATTATGGTTTCTGGCACTATTTACAAAGAACGAAGTGTAGTCCTCAACTACACAGAGCGCTACCCTGGAGCGTTAGAGGTTCCATGTTTGTAAGTACCCATTTGGCATTTTCAGTTTTTAATAAATATCCTATACTGTACTACGCTATTTCCCCATTTTTTGTACTTCCCATAGGAACGGACATACACATCTAATAAGGGTCTCTCTATACCGGGATTGTGCATTTAAGGTAAAAGTTATTATTTGATAAGCACCACACTATTTATCTTTCTATCTATTTGCTGGTGTTGTTCTGGAAAAGTTGTACACTCAGGTGTTTAACTGCTATTTATTAATACACTTATCTGAACATTCCTTCAACAAATTCTATTCAATATAAAGCGCTAGTTTTTTCATCCTATCAGTACTGTAGTGTTGTCTATAGTCCCAGTTGTTAATTTTCCTGCCAATTTATATTATTAGCAACTTATCATTCTTTCTTTCTGACATTGTTATAGCTAGCATGTGTTTGCTTTACAATCAATATCTACCAAGTGTTATGTACTATTATAATTTTAATAATTTGTGCAGTGACTTAGACATAGTGATCTACTGATGACATTCCCTAATACTTTTGTCTTTGTTATTCTCTGTAGCCTGCAACACACAACAAAAATAAACAATACAAAAAAAAATGTTGAATGTGAATTGAGAATTGCTAACTATTGAAACAGCCATCACAAATTCATTGGGAGACACCAGTCATCATGTTAGAGATTAGTGGGACTTGAAAAAGTAAAAAGAAGCCATGCATAATTATATCAAAATTATGTTTTTGCCACATTAACTTGGGGTGACATAAAAATAGTTTCAAATGTTTAAAAGATCATGGATTTTTTCAAATCTGTTTTATTTGTACCTACCTTCTAAATGTGGGCACAATGAATACAAACAGTAAATATAAAAATCTATGGATTTTGCAAATGTATAAGTTTTGAGCACTTTAAGGTTTTTGATCACTATTTCCATGGCTTTAGAGTGAAAAATATGTGTATTTTGCTCACAGCAGATAGCACAACGAGCAGCCTCATCAGTGTGGATGTTAGTGTGCGCACTGATCGCATCCTTCATGTTATCCACTATATGTTTGATGGTTTCTGTATTTTTGCTCTCTACTAATAGTAGAAATCATCCAAGCACACTGTCCTCAGATTTTACACAATTTCAAACCATAGGATAGTGTGTCTGGAAAGTGTCTACTACTTTTGCATAAATTTTGGTTGCTACTGATACATTTTGCTAGTGATATTAATACCAATCATATTAAAGATCCCTGGATGGAATGTAAACTATTTTTGAATATTCCTCTAATTTTGCTCAGAGAAATATTGCAAGACAGGAAAAATCCATCTAAACTTAAATGTGATTTTTTTCCCCCCAAAAAAACGACTCTTCTACCTTTATATGAAATCAGAGATTTGCAACAGGTTGATTATCATTTATTAATTTATCTGAAATCCTATTGTTAAGCAATCAAGTTGCTCAGCTGTAAGCAGGGTGTGAAACTATTCATTTTAATATATTTCTCTTACACCTGTTTCTTATGTACTTTCTGGATGTAATATTTCAGATCCTGTCTGATATTTTACAAGATAAGTCATCCAATATACTTTCAAAATATGTTATCCTCCAATATTTTTGTAGAGGGTAAACAAGCACGTTATATTGTGTATAGCTGGTGTAACTAGCTT